CAGTGTTTCTCTGTGCTCTTCCCTCATTCCCACATTTCTCCCTATTCTTCCCTCATTCCCATGTTTCTCCATGCTCTTCTCTCATTCCCATGGTTCTCTGTGCTCTTCCCTCATTCCCACATTTCTCCCTATTCTTCCCTCATTCCCATGTTTCTCCATGCTCTTCTCTCATTCCCATGGTTCTCTGTGCTCTTCCCTCATTCCCACATTTCTCCATGCTCTTCTCTCATTCCCACATTTCTCCCTGCTTTTCCCTCATTCCCATGCTTCTCCCTGCTCTTCCCTCTTTCTCCGTGCTCTTCCCTCATTCCCATGTTTCTCCATATGTTTCCTTGGTGGTGGAGGCAAACCCTTGGAAGGAAGGGATTATTTGGATGTCCAGGTATTCTCCTCTGTGGCAGCTTTAGTTCAAAGAAGTGAGTGAGCACAGAATGGAATCTCAGCCAACGCTTCCCAAATCCACTCTTTGCTTCCTTCAGGATGTTAAGATGTTTCTGCAAAGACTTCCCAGATCCGTTCTTCGGGATTCTGGGATTTTCTTTTCAGAGGTTCCACACAGCTCGTGATGGTGCTTTGCAGGGAAGTTTGTGATCACTGTCTGTCTCCACAGGCTTTATTCCTGGGATTAGTACAGTCAGAAAGTCAGGTTGTAGTGTGCACATCCAAGCTTCAGCCTTCCCAAATCCCAAAGGAATTGCGTATGTGGAAAGCGCTCAGTGAGTTTCACCTCAGATCCTTTCCAGCCACCATAGATGAGGAATTGTTCCAGAGCTGTGTTAAACAGTGTTTTATTCCCTTTTTTTCTTGTTCTCCACCTCCTTTAACTTCCAGTTGTGCCTGTTGGGTTGCTCCCAACTCCTTATTCCCTGTCTTCTGGGACATGGCAGCAGTTGGATCCAAGCCCCTGCTGGTCCTGCCACAGCGTGGGAGGTTCAGCTCTGAGGCTTATTTTCCCTTTTTACACTTCCATGGACTCCTGGATTAAAAAAAAAAACCCACTCTGTTGACCTTGGCAGGCTGAACAGGGACAGCCCAGAGCTGGAATTCTTAGAACTGTTCCCAAAATTACGCTGCTTGTCATTATTAGAGGAATTACTGCAGCACTTTCACTTCACCCCCGAGGAGCGAGCAGTGTTTGATGTCCCAAATTATGCCCCTGCTTTTCGTGGCATCATTTGGGCAGCAAAGCTCTCCATATATTTCCTTTTCAAGAGCTAAAAACCAGGGAGCAGCACCGGGTGCCTTTATTTCATCTCCTCCAGTGAGGAGCTGAAGGAATTAATATCCCATCAGGATATTCTATCCTGATATCCATCAGGATATATGTAGAATATATATTTTATATTTTTATATATATATATTTATATATATATATAATATATGTAGAATATATTATATATATATATAATATATCTATCCTGATATCCATCAGGATAGAATATATATAGAATATATAGAATATATCTATATAGAATATAGATAGAATATATCTATCCTGATAACCATCAGGATAGAAAATATATAGAATATATAGAATATATATATATATATATAGAATATATATAGAGAATATATCTCTCCTGATATCCATCAGGATAGAAGGATGAAATGCAGAATCCTGGGAAGGAAGATTGGGGGGTTTTTCATGTTTTTTACAGCATGCCCCCCAACAAATAATAATGAGGGAATAATGTCACCATGGGCTTTGTGCTCTGTTTGCTGGGACCCGAAGCAGGACATGGGTATATATGAAACAAAACAAGATGGATTTTTATATATACACATATATATATATTTATATATTTATTTCCATACCTTTTTTCTCATTTTTCTCATCACCTCACCTAGATTTATTCCTGGCTTTTCTGCCTGTTCCACACCTTTGTCTCATATATTTATTCCTCGATTTCTCACGTATTTATTCCTTCCCGACACAGTTTTTCATCCCAGGCCCTGCAGAAGGATGAGCTTTATCAAACCAACCCCTCGGTTTTCTGTGTCCCCGTTTTCCCTCTCCTTGCCTACTTCCTGAATGATTTTATGGAAAAGGAAGTCAGAGCAGCCACACAGTTAAAATTAAACCCCGTTTTCCCTCCTCGTGTTAGAAAACCAGGAGCAGGTGTGGCACAAACAAGCCTTTCCAGACATGATCCACTAATTTCCATGATGTTCCCTATGGATGGCAGCTGGATGGCAGCTGGGACACAGCCCAGGCACAGCCAAAGGCAGAGACAGGAGGGAAAACCTTCCATTTGCCACAGTTTATAGTTGGTTGGGAATAAATCCAAGCGTTACCCACGTGTAGGACAAGGAATTTTTGGTTATCCCAATGTCCATGAAAACACTGAAGGAGCAATGGAGGCAAACTGCACTTGAGTGGAAATTAGTGGAATTGCAAGGATTTAGTCAGGAAATTTAATAAAAATTCATGAAGTCCAGAAATGATGAATCTTTGTGCCCTTCTAGTCCAGGCTTAGAAAAGCAAAGGTGTCGCAGAGGGCTGGTTTAGGGAAGCTGCACAGGGGTTTTTTGAGCTCAGCTTAACTTTCTGTTGATTTCTCAGCCTTCCACTTTTCCCAGGGAGGACCAAATTCACCCCTCCCGTGAAAAGGAATAAATAAAGGGAAGATGGCAAATGCAGAACAGTGCTGCCTTTCATTCCAAGGACTATTTTCACAGGATAATTCATCATTTTCACATGAGATAAAGTGTTTATTCAAAACCCAGCCCAGGCACGAGGCCAAAGCACAGCTCATGGCAGCCTTGCCCAAATTACATTCGTAGAAACTTGTATTTTTCCAGCATTTTTCAGGTTTTATTTAAACTTTCATAGCAAGTTTTTTTCCTCTAAGGATTTTTTTTTATTATTATTTTTAATAAACTGCAGCACATCTGCTGTGCAGAATGTGCTGATTTTGGGGCTTGTTTTTTTTTTCAACTTGAAATATTGCCACTGCAGATTTATTTTATAACTCGTGGTCACAGGTACAGGAAGCTTTTAGTGGCATAAATTCTCTGGGTGTGTCCAAGGCCAGTTTGGAGCAACCTGGGATAGTGGAAGGTGTCCCTGCCCATGGCGGGAGGTGGAACTGGATGATTTTAAGGTCCCTCCCAACCCAAACCATCCTGGGATTCTGTGGTGACTCTTCTCCTGATCTTATTTAAGGATCATATATTGAATATCATTAAATCATTGGGGTCTGTCCACTTTCTGTGAGTGGAAAAAAACTCACTGAAAAATAGGAATCAACTGGATTTGATTGTTCTTTTCTCACTGATACCTCTCAGCTGGAATTTAATGGCATTAACAAATGGAATTTGTTGGAACAGATCAATGCTGATGCAGAAAAGGAGGAAGGGGAAGAGTTTGAGGACAGCATGGACGTGTTTGATGACAGCAGTTCCAGTCCTTCGGGCACCCTCAGAAATTACCCCCTCACCTGCAAAGTTGTTTATTCCTATAAGGTCAGTGATTGATTATTGGTTTTTAGTTGGTTAGAAAAATTGTATCACAGACCACTAAGAAATGTGGGAGCTCACAAGGTGGGATTCTGGGGGATTCCATCTCTCCTTGAGGGGAAAAAGGCTCTTGTGAGTGGTAATAAAAAGACACCTAATTTGGATTTTTTAAAGTATCTCCATCAGAAAACTTCCCAGTGTTTTAAAAACCGTTTTTTAAAATAAAAATCAAGGTGAAAATGTTCTTTCCGCTGCTCCTGAAGCCACTTTTCCAACCTTCCTGTTCTCCCTTCAGGCTTCCCAACCGGATGAATTGACCATAGAGGAGCACGAGGTGTTGGAGGTCATTGAGGATGGAGACATGGAAGACTGGGTAAAGGTATCACTTTCCTGGGATTGTTTGCATGAATTCCATCAGAAATGAAACTTGGAATGGGAGGAGATACTGGGATTCTTTCCAGAGGATTGTGCACAAGCAGAGGATCTCTTCTGTGCTTGGTTTCCAGGCACGGAATAAGGCGGGTCAGGTGGGATATGTCCCGGAGAAGTACCTGCAATTCCCAACCTCCAGCAGCCTCCTGAGCATGCTCCAGTCCCTGGCGGCGCTGGACAGTCGATCCCACACCTCCAACAACTCCACAGAGGTGGATTTAGTCTCAGGAAGCCTCAATGGAGACTCCAGTGGTAAATACCAGTGAAAAATAAACACTGTGTTAAGCTGCTTCTGGAAAATATTCTGTATATCCAGTCTGGGAGAGTTCCTCAGATTCCATAGAATCACGGAATCACTAAGGCTGGAAAAGAACTCCAAGATCATCAGGGACAACCTGTGACCAAATCCCACAATTCCCACAAAACTATATGGCATTTCTCATGTTTTGAACACTTCCAGGGATGGTGACACACCCCCCTTCCCAGGTCAGCCCATTCCAATGGGCAGGGAATTCATTTTCCCTGATGTCCAACCTGAACCTCCCCCCAGGCAATTTGAAGCCCTTCCCTCTTGTCCTGTCAGTGATTTCCTGGGAGAAAAGGCTGATCCCACCTGGCCACAACCTCCTGGATGTGAGCACAGCTCAGGAATTCCCTCGTGTCAGATCTCCATAATTCACCTCACAGATTGAGCTTAACGGGAATTAAAATTAAGGAAACGAACGCAAAATAATTTGTCTTAGCAACAACAGAATCTTTCAGGCTGGAAAAGCACTTCCAAACCTTCAATTCCAGCTCTAAAAATCTGTGTTTAATTCCTGGTTTTTTCATGGCTTATTCCAATTACGCTGTTTTGTTTTTTTTTTTTTCCCCTTTCCACCTTCAGTCTGTTTTGTAAAAGCACTTTATGACTACGAGGGGCAGACGGATGACGAGCTGTCCTTCCCAGAGGGAGCCATTATCCGCATCCTGAACAAGGAAAACCAGGATGACGATGGATTTTGGGAAGGGGAATTCAACGGCAGAGTCGGGGTGTTCCCGTCAGTGCTGGTGGAGGAACTGACGGCCTCGGAAAACGGGGAGACCCCCTGGATTGGGGATATTCAGGTGGGTTGTTGGTTGGGGGAGTTGGAAAGGTTGGAAAGATCTGCCAGTTCTTTGGGAAAAAAAATGGGAAAAATCAACCGATTTAAGCAAAAAATAGAAACAATTTTAGGAAAAAAATTAGAAGCAATTTAAGAAAAAAAATAGAAGCAATTTTAGGAAAAAAATCAGAAGCAATTTGAGGAAAAAAAGAACGAGGTTAAGAAAAAAAATCAGAACCAATTTAAGAAAAACATCAAAACCACTTTGAGAAAAAAAACCCAGAACCAATTTAGAGAAAAAAAATCAGAACCAATTTAAGAAAAACAGTCAAAACGAATTTGAGGGAAAAAAAAACCAGAACTAATTTAGAGAAAAAGAAAATCAGAAGCACCTTAAGAGAAAAAAATCAGAAGCTACTTAAGAGGAAAAAATCAGAACCAATTTAAGAAAACAAATCAAGCCATTTAAGAAAACAAGAATTAGAAACAATTTAAGGAAAAAATCAGAACCAATTTGAGGAAAAAAATTCAGCAATTTAAGAGGAAAAAAAATCAGAAGTGATTTAAGAGAAAAAATCAGAAGCAAGTTAAGAGAAAAAAAATCAAGAAATGTAAGAAAAAAAGTCAGAATCACTTTAAGGAAAAAAAAATCCAGCAATTAAGAAAACAAGAATTAGAAGCAATTTAAGAATAAAAAAAATCAGAACCAATTTGAGAAAAAAAAAAACGCAGAACCAATTGAAGGAAAAAACCCACAGAACTAGTTTAAGAAAAAAAAATTAAGCAATTTAAGAAAACAAGAATTAGATGGAATTTAAGAAAAAAAGATCAGAAGGAATTTGAGAAAAAAAGTCTGAACCAGTTTAAGAAACAAACCCTAAGCCCCGAGTGCTTATATTTGAGTTTCTTACCCAGCCTAATATTTCTCAGGGGATGTATTTTGGGAATTGTAGCAGATTTGTGACTGAAGGGAAATATTTGGATAGACAGGAAGGGAACCAAAGGAGGAAATTCCCAGTCCTTGATTTCTGGCAGAGCCTGAGATGTCAAACACAGCCTGGCACAAAAAGAGAATTCCAGGCTCTTTCAGCCCCAGTTTATTTGGTTTATACTTAATTTTGTTCTGTGTCCTCTCAGCTTTGAGGGGCAGGATCCTCCCAAGTATTGGAATACACGAAATTTTGCTAAAATGTCCCATTTCAGTGGAGTTCTGCAATCCTTCTATTAGAAAATCACACACATTCCCACATGGAATTGTGGTGGTAGAAACTGGACTTCCATGTTCCCTGTTTCTCCAGTGTTTTTATTCTTTGCTTCGAGACTGTGAAAAGGAATATTTAAATTAAATTTGTGCAGCTGAGAGGGGATAAAGCCCACGATCCCAACACTTTCTTGTGGATCTGTGGCCACACAACCTTTTTATTTCCAATAACCTTCAAAAGTCCCTCGGAATTACCTGGGAGAGGCTGGAAATTCCTACTGGGTGGCAACCTATGATTTTAAGAAAACTGGGTCACTGTTCGATATCTTGGCTTTCCTTCCCACACGTTTCCTCTGGAGGGAAGCTGTTGGCACAGTGATGGCTCAGAAAACTGGGATGTGCCTAAGAAATTCCCAGGGGAAGGGTTTTTGCAGCCCCTTGGATGTTTTTCCCCCACAGATTTCTCCAACTCCGAAGCCCAACAACATCCTCCCACCGCTCCCGTTGTATGACCAACCTCCCACCAGTCCCTATCCCAGCCCGGATAAAAGAGGCTCCCAGTTCTTCCCGAGGTCTCCATCAACTAATGGTAAGAATTTTGGGGGATGGAAAAACAACCACTTCAGCCAGAGCTTCATTTGGGATGTTCCTGTTTTGGTGGAGGGGGGAAAAAAAGGAGCGTTTTTGCCACGTGAAGTCGCAAAATCAGCCCTTCCAGGGGCTTAGGAGCTTCATGAAGTGAATTCAGCCAGGCTGAGGGTCCTCTTTGTGCTGAGGGGTTGGTTTTATTCCCTCAGAAAACAGCTTCGGATCCGAGTGCCCCGGGTTCTCCCAACCTCTGCGGATTCCCGCCGAAACTTCCTACGGAAAACTGCGACCTGTGAGTGAGACCCCGATCCCGGGGGGGGTTTATTGGGGTTATGGAGTGGGAATTGGGGTGGGAACATACAAATCCAGGGGGGTGGGACAGCACCTGGGGATTGGCTCCCTGTGTCCTGCAAATCCAGTGATTCCCTATAAACCAGCAGCGTCCTGGATGAGCACAAGGAAAGGTCTGTTCCCTCTGTCATTGTGTTCAGAGATGTCCTTGAGGCTCATCCAGGCCTGTCCTTCCTCATCCTGTCCTCCTGTGTCCCACCTCTGTGTCCATGTGAGGCTTGGAATCAGGAATTCTCACCGGGGAGGAAATTCCAGCCATAATGATATAAAACAAAATATAGGCATTACTTGATATAAAATAGGTGTTACTTGATAAACTTGGGGCGTTGGGAGGCGATTTCTGGTCTTGCCACATGTAAAAAAACCCCAGCAGAGTTGGAAAAAGAGGTGAGGAATAAATGCCAGAGGAGTTTAATCCTATGTTTTGTACAATTCCTGCTTTCCAGCAGTTTGCTGCACTGTCCTGGCATTACTTGGATTTAGAGTTATATTTATTTCCAACCCCTTTGATTTGAGGGGTTTGGATTCAAAATTCTTGATGATCAGATCAGTGTATTTTGTGTTGTCTTTGCTGCTTAGGAAAAAGTAATTTTGCCAGAGAAGGAAAGGAAGAATTTAATCACTTAGAACGTGGCAAAATACCTCTCCTGGGATTTACTCGGAGGGTTTCAAAGTCCTGAACCAAATCAGAATGTTTGTCTTTTCCTGGCCTTCTCAGTGAATGAGGTTGCAGAAAAAAAGAGCATTTTTGGATATTCCAAGAATGTATTCTGAATATTCCAATGGATATTGCAGTGAATTAGCCTTGGCCATGGACACACAGGAGGCAGGGGCAGCACTGCATCATTCAGGGCTTAAATATTGATTTCACATTGATTTCCTTGTAAAACTCACTGATCCAGCCTTTGTAGATTTATATTTTCCTCATGGATTCTTTGCAATTTATTGCCTTTTCGAGATATCACTGCAGCGTCATGCCTTGATCCAAAGGATTTCTGTTAAAGATATCCAGGATATCCAGTACTGGGCAGTTTGGGATGGAATTGCCCCACAGTTCATTATTTTCCATAGCAAGTCACTCTGTATTCCGAAATCCCATCCTGAAAACCCTGGTAGCACTAAAGGTGAGCAAAAAGAACTGGATGGAAGTGGCAGAGTGTGAGACTAACCCCAGATTTCAGGGGTGTGTCTCGAGGTCAGTGATGGATGAAATGTAAGTCCCTTAGAGGCAACAAAGTGTTCAGGCCCACCCCACAGAAATTCCAGGGAAAAGCACCATCAGATTCAGAATTTGGTGTAAATTCCAAGGTGTTTTCCAGTTTCCCGCCCTGGGTTATCCATGGGTGCAGGAAGAATGGGCAGGGGAAAATCAACTGTGGTGGCTTCCCTGGGGACATTGGAGCTGAATCCAGCTGGTTCCTCCTCCCTGTCTGTTCACGTCAGCTTGAGGGACGAGCCCCAAAGGTGGCGTTTAGTCTGTGCCAGAGCTGGGATTTGCTGGTTTTCTGCTGGGATTTGCTGGTTTTCTGCTGGGATTTGCCTGTTCCGTGGCGGTCACGGGCTGGTTTTGGCCATTCCAGGTGCGAGCAGCTCCTCCACCCCCCACCCAGCACCACCGCCGGCCCCCGGAGAAGATCGAGGACGTGGAGATCACCCTGGTGTGACCGGGGGGGGCTGAGCAGGAGGGCTACAATCAAGACCAAACCCAGCATTTGGTCCCTCTCCCATTTTTAGGCACCTTTGCATGAAGAAGACTTTGGAATAGAGCAGGACACCGGGAGGGTTGGATTTTGGCGGATCCCTTCCCGCGGCCGTGAAGATTTTTGTGCCTTTTTTTGTTTGTTTTTTGGTTTCTTTCCATCGGTTTTGGCCTCTCTTAGCACAAAGCAAGCCCAGCAGAGGATTTGCTTCGGAGCAGGCTTTTCCTCCTGGCTGAAGATGCTCCGTTTATTTTCCCAAGGAGACTGAGGAATGAGCCTCCTTCCTGCAGCTTAGTCATAGCACCCTTTGCTCCCGTGCATTAGTACAGTATATTACTGTTGCCATAGGAATGTGCTGAACATTGTGGATCCTTCCAGTAGCATTGGATTGTCTGATCAGGTGTTAAATCAGATCCCGCGGAATGAAAAAAGGGAACGGGAAGATAAGTCAAAAGGAGAGGCTGGCTCCTCTTTCACCCCCCTGCAGAAAGGAAGAAACAGGAAAAGAAGCTCCTGGAGGAGCAAAAGACCACGGGGGGGGGTTCGTTCCCCTCGTCAGGAATCATCAGCTGGACCCTTCTGCTCCTTGGATTCCTATTTACACAGGACTTTTTAGTCCCAGAGGATCTACTCTGGAGGTGCTGAATCAGTAGCAACATCTTGTTCCGTAGCATAAACCAGAAAAGTAAGTGAGGTTTTGTCTAGATCTGCAAATCGAGCTGCTTTATTTTTTGTTTTCTTAGCAGATTTTGGGGATTTGGGTTTGTTGTTGTTTTGTTTTTTTTTTAAAGTGTTTGGGTCATTCCTACCCCAGTTATTGCTGTGTGCTTAATTATCCAACGTTAGCAGATATCTTTGTCATCCAGCCACCTGGCTTGAGTTAGAGGTTCCATTTTAAGAGTATTTACATGCATTTAGTTGTTGCATTGGATGGTCCTGTAGTGTTTTCCCAGTGAATCCCATCAACCAGCCAAAGCCAGGGAGCCTGGAGCTCCCTGTGATGCCTTCACACCACCTTGGTGCCCAAGATCTGCTCTCCAGTTCCTCTCGGGAGAGAAGCAGAGAGGAGAAGAATTGCAAATTTCCCACTGGAGATCTCTGAAAAAGGGAGCTTTGCTTTTGCTGTGCTTTGAAAGAAAAGGGTTCTGAGGTCGGAGGTGGAGAGGGAAAAACTGGCTGAGAACAGGTTTTTTTTGGGTCCTGGCTGAATTATTGTCAGCAATCTCCATCAGAGGGAGGATCAGAGGCATCCCCAGGTTGGGTTTTGAGCTGTTTCTGTGGGTTCTCTTGTGTCTTCATGGGTTTTTGTTCAAAGCCAGTGAGTTTTCTACCTTTAGTTTACTAACAAGGGCTATTTTTTGAGGCTGCATTTACAAAAAAAAAAAAAGAAAAAAAAAAAACACAAAAAACAATTCATCTTAGGAGATTCTTTCATAAACTTTGCACATACCTGTAAATCCCAACCCAAGCTGGGTCTCTGAGACATCTGTGCTTTCCAGTCTCCTTTCCCAGTGGGATCCTTAACCAAGAGTGGGGCTGTTTGAAGACAACAACTCATGGATCAGTTCTGAAATTAGGGACTGTCCAATGAAGTCTTTTTTTCCATATCTTTTCCTTTCTTTTGCACCTCTTGTCCTGTTGATCTGTTCGAGGTCTTTTTATGTGTTTATCAAACTTATTCTTAAGTTTAAAAAAGAAAAGTTTTTAAAAAAGAAGATTTAACTGCAAATATTTTGAGATCTTCACAACGCAGAAGAAAACCAAGTGTTGCCATAAACCTTCATTTTTAATTCCTTTGGCCAGTTTTTTCTGTGTCCTTCATACCCGGACTTTGGGAAAAAAAATTCAGAAAGTTTTATTTAAAAGTCTCTTTAGTTGTATTTTAAAATATTTTCTGTAAGAGCTGCTAATTTTATTTAAAATACAAAAGTGAAAAAAGCTACAAAAAAAAAGTAAAAAAAAAAAAAAAGGAAGAAAAGCTGTAAAAAGATGCAAAAAGATGCCTCCTTTTTAACTATGATTTCTTCATACAGGGCATGTATCGGCCATCGCATCGTGTACAGTGTCAGTACACTGAAAGCATCAGTTGCTTTCTTTATATTGGCTGTAAAAAGTTTGTATTTATTATGTATAAAAAGTTGAATAATAAAAAAGTGGAACTAAATCCAGGGTGCTGTGGAGATTTTGGGGGGGGGGGTTGAGGGACAACCTGAAGGATGGGGATAAAACTCGACGTTTTCTTGGGTGGGATTGAGGGAGAACCTGAGGGCTGGGGATAAAACTCGACTGTTTTCTGAAGTGGGCTTTTTGCGGTTTGGGTTTTTACACCGAGATTTGAGTTTTCTGCTCGGGAAAACACTTGTGCACCTGCTTAAAGCCAGCGTTAAACCTGGTTTTAAGGTGGTATCTAAGAGGAACCAAACGGTGCCAGAAACGAAGAGCCAGAACAAAGCTGCTGTTATCAAAATAATTGCTTAATAGCCTTGATGCAATTAGGGTAATTGGGTAAAGAAAGCAGGGAGAGTGATTGATAACAGCCCTTCAGTGTGATTGTCCCTTAATGGCCTCGATTTGCCTAATTGTGCCGGGAGTATTCCCAGTGCATCCCAAGCCTCTGCAGCTTTAGGATGGCTCTGTGGATTAGGATCCCTTCCATGGGGGATTTTCCTTCCTTGGAAGCCACCTGTGGTGAGCAGCTCCCTGCTGGGCTCATCCTGCTTTCCCAAATATTGCTTATCCATGAGCTCCATGTGCCAATTCCCTCCCTGGTTTTGGAGCCAGCTCTTTTCCCTGACTGAGCCCAGCCGGACATTCATGCAGGATGGGTTTGGATCTTTAATCTTCTACTCTTCACACAAGCTTTCATTTTTTTTCCTGAGCTCCTGCAGCCTCTTCCTTTGATTCCCATCTTCTCCTGCTTTTTATGTGCATTCATGGTGCTCCTCCACAAATTCTTGTCCTGCCTTGCTGCTTTGACCACTCTGTCCTTTTCTTTCAGCTTCTTGCTCGTGGCATCCCTCCTTTTCTTCCTGCATCTCTCAGCTTGGGCTTCTTTTCACCATCACTATCCTTAGGAATGATGTTACTCCTCAAATCCACCAGCAGAGCCACTTTTCCTTCCCTCCATTTTTAACAGGCCTCTGCTTTTTCTCCTTCCCCTTCCCCAAAAGCTGTGCTGTCCCAAAACAGAGAATTCTGTGATCACAACATTCCAGCCATTAACCTGTTTTCTCTGAAAACCTCTTTTCCCCTGAAGTGTTTTCCCAGCTCCAGCTCCCATTGCTGCCTTTTCCCTGGAAGTTGGACACTGTTTGGGCAGCACAGAGTGACCACTTAGAGGCAAAAAGAGGTGCTGAGGAAAACCAAATGCTCCAAAGGTTCTGTTTTCTGCTTGGGATAGTTAAAGAGGAGGAATCTGGGGAACTTAGGCTGAAATGTTTATCCCTGGAAGTTGGCAGCAGGACCTGTTAGAGCTGGAGGTTTCTCTCGTGGCTCTGGTTCCCAGATTTTGGCTTTAAATGTAGATATAGATGGGATATTGGGAAGGAATTCCTGGCTGGGAGGGTGGGGAGGCCCTGGCCCAGGTTGCCCAGAGGAGCTGTGGCTGCCCCTGGATCCCTGGAAGTGTCCAAGGCCAGGTTGGAGCAACCTGGGCTAGTGGAAGGTGTCCCTGCCCATGGCAGGGGGTGGCACTGGATGATTTTAAGGTCACTTCCAAGCCAAAGCAGTCTGGGATTGTGTGATTTTCGGAAAGGATAATGGGACTGGGATTGGGCAGAAGGGATGGGGGTAAATATCATAATGTCCCTTTACTACAAACTGTGCTGGGTTCTTTTGGGGTTCTCTTTCCCATATAGCACAAGGTTCTCTCACTGGTAATAGTAATTAAAAAGGAAAAGCAAACCCCCAACCTCTTCTCTAAATAAAGCATCTTTTGCTCCTTGCAAGCCTGACTGTTCCACAGCCGACACTTTTTCCCTGCCTGCTTTTCCAGCAAGCTCCCTGAAATTAATAACCTGCAAATCTCAGCATGGCAGGGGCAGGAGCAGCAGGAAATCCACCTCAGTCAGTCTTTCCTTCCCCTGAGCCTCCCAGGAAGGAGAGGAGATGCTGCTGCTGTGGGAAGAGTTGTGTCTCCCTGTATTTTTCCCATTTGCAGCTCCGTTGCCCCACAAAAGATTGCTGGGAGCGATGGGAGTGAATGTGCTGCTCCCTTCTGTCCTACACCTGGCCAGCTCTCTCCAAGCTCAGGGATATTGAGAGTTCAAGGCACAGGGAGAGGCTGGAGAAAGGGATAAAAGGAGAGAAGACTTAACGGGAGTCAGGGATGCAGCGAAGGAGACAATAAAAATGCAGGCAGGGAAATGCCGACGTGCTTGCTGTGCCAAGTGGTTTCCTACTCCAGGCAGTCCCCAGGGGGATTGAGGATTCCAGATCTGGCAGAAGGATCAGTGCAGCCTCTGCATTGCAGGTCATTCCATCCAAGGGATGAAAGCACTGCAGTGAGAGCGGGGCCGGAATGGAGCAGGCAGGAAAATGCCTGGGATTGTTTTCCAGAGGTGGACACAGGAGTAACACGTGTGTGACATGGGAGGAACATCCCCAGCGTGGAGGGGAGGGGGAAATGGGGCTGCTCAAGTGCAAGTGCATCTTCTCAGCTCCTGGCACAGGGGAGTGCTGGAAGAGCCCAGCTCTGCCTCTTGGATAATCCCCCAAGGATTGATGAGACCCCTGCTGAGCCTTCTCCGGGCTGAGAACTTAGGGAATGGTGGAAGAGAATCTCCAGGACAAGAGGAAATGTTCTCAGGTTGCCCCAGGTGAGGTGTAGGTTGGATATTGGGGAAAAATTCTTCGTGGAAGGGGTGGTCAGACATTAGAACCCTCCAGTCCCCATCCCTGGAGGGGTTTAACAACCCTGTGGATGTGGCACTTGGGGACAGGGGTTAGTGGTGGCCTTGGCAGTGCTGGGGAATGCTTGGACTCACTGTTGGAGTGCTTTTCCAACCCAAATGATTCTATGACACACAGAACCTCTGTGTCGAACTGCACCTTAGGCTGGGGTCATCATGGAGACTCCAAAATGGGATTCCAGGATTGAGGCTTCAGTCCGAACCTCCTTAAGGGTCCCTGGAAAAGCAACACTGAGCCATGGCCTTGTTACTGTTCCCAGAAACACTTTGGAATAAAACACGTGCTAAATAGAAGAAATAACATGCCAATAGCAACAAACAACAAATGACAGCTCTGTACACTGGGAATAGCTCATGGGGGCTTTCAAATCCCAAATCCAGCTCACAGCACCAGGGAATGAGGCACGTGGGGTCTGCCAGGTCCATTGGCAGCCCAGTCCCATTCCTCCTCCTCTTCCCATTCCAGGTTTTCCCGCTGCAGTGAGTTTTCCAGCCCATTGGCCTGTCTGGAGTGTGTCAATCTGTGGTGCTTCCACTGCTTTGTTTAAAGCCCCTTTGCTGTCTCCTGGATTTCACAGCTGGTATCCAAAGGGGCCACAGAGCAGGAAGGGGCCCAGTGCTCCATCCAGCTCTGGGGATCAGGCTTTGCCTCCCACAGAACCTGCCCCTTCCCAGGCATTAAATGGGCTTTACAGAAGGCACTTGCATCATTCCACCCAAAATCCTGCCACTGCGTGAATATCCCTGGAGTGTTCTCCTGGGTCAGACTGGGATGGCTGTGAGGAACAGGAGACAGGGATAAGCCTGGCTTTGCAGTGAGGAGCCAGGGATAAGCTTGGCTTTATAGAGCTTTATTATGGAAGGAGAAGCTGTTCAGCCTCGGGTCTGCAAGCTGAGCTCCACACATGGTTCCACCAGCTACTCCCAGTTCTTCCAAGCAGCTTAATCCATCCCACCCAAAACACACTGGGAATGTGGATTCCTGCAGGTGGGGTAGCTTCCAGGTCCTCTCATGAGGGTTTTCTGGGAAGGATTGTGGTGCTGGGGCTGGTCAGGCTGGGATTCCCGAAACACAGCTGAGAATGGCTCAGGGAATATACAATTGTGATCCAGCCTGGGGGATTTTGCTGCTGGAGAAGATTTTTTATGGCATTCTGGATTTGCAGTGTGGCCAGAGGCAAAATGAAGGTGCTGGGAAGGAAGAGGTCGGGCTGAGGGAGGACCATTTCCCAGCAACTCAAAACTGGTTGTGGTTGTGGCCTTAGTGAGGTGAACATGAACTGGGCCACCTGGAGAGGAGATGGTTCCATTGAAACATTGGATCCAGGAGCTGGGAGCTCATTCCGGCTCCCCACTGCACAAATCCTCCTGTGTCCTGTTGGCAGAAGGGGGATCTTTTAGGCCAATCTGTGCTGTGCTGTGCTGAAGTGGTTTCAGGATTTCTGTTTTGCAATTGCCTTCATTCCACTCCCGTATTTCCCCCTTTTTTTTTGGTGGAG